ACTCCAACCTCCTGTCAGGGAGTTGCAGAGGGTGCTAAGGTCTCCCCTGAGCCTCCTCTTCTCCAGGCTGAACACCCCCAGCTCCCTCAGCCTCTCCTCATGCCACTTGTGCTCCAGTCCCTTCACCAGCAACGAGGCTGGTGGCAAAAAACCTTATTCCTTAATTTTGAACCAACCTTCACACCCACTGTGGGACACTCTAGGGGTAAAGAGAGCACCCCCAGGCTCTGCAAAAAGTGCTCCTGAACTGCCCCCAGAACGTGCTGACCCCAGAGTGAACTGTTTGGTGCCCTGGGATGTCCCTGGACACCCCCAGGCCTCACCTGCCGCGCGATGACCTGCTGCAGAGCGTTCTGGCACTTGGCATAGGTGTGGTCTCTCATGATGATCATGATCACAGGCATCAGCTTGTCCACCAGGGCCAGTGGGCCATGCTTCAGCTCCCCAGCCAGGATCCCCTCCGAGTGCATGTAGGTGATCTCCTTAATTTTCTAGATGGGCAACAAAGAATTCATCAAACTTGAGTTAAACTTGTGATTTTTTTTTTTTTAACTATCTCTGTGCATTCTGCTCCTGTGAACCTCTGTCAAATTGCCTCCTGGGTCTCCTCAGGCTGAGGGCCTGGAGGCCACCAACACTCAGATCTAACACCAAACCCACCACAGCTCTCATGATCTGCCACCAGCTCCAGCAAACACAGAGGACAACCTGCAGGTCAGTGGGGACAGCACCTACAGCAACAGGAACCTCCTACAGGTGACAGCTGCAATATATGGGTTTGGAGAGTTCCTGCTCAGCATTCCTGGAAATCCCACCCCAATACCCCAAAGAAGTGGATTTATTAGGGTTCCCAGTCTGTCACAGAAAGCATTCCCAGTGGAATGTGGAAAATAAACCCCCTCAACCCACTGCAGCTTGTGACATGGGAACCCTTAAGCAGCCTCAGCACTGCTGGGGTGACTTTAGCTATTTGTGGGCATAGAATCATGGAGTGGTTTGGCTTGGAAGACCTTAAAGATCATCCAGTCCCACTCCTGTCTTGGGTGGGAACATCTCCCACCAGCCCAGGGTGCTCCAAGGCCCATCCAACCTGGTCTGGAACACTCCTAGGGATGGAGCAGCCACAGCTTCCCTGGACAACCTGTGCCAGTGCCTTCCATCTGCACTGACAGCTACTTGTCACTCCCTGTGTGGACCCTGAAGTCCATGGCTAAGAGTGTTTGAAGCAGCTTGAAAGGAAGAGAAACATCTTACCAGAGCTCCCTCCAGACACGTGGCATAGTGGTAGCCACGGCCCATGATGAGCACAGACTTCTGGTGGTACAGCTCTGTGGCCAACTTCTGGATCTCATCATCCATGCTCAGCACTTCTTTAATCAAATCTGGAAGGAAGGAGAAGAACTCCAGCTGTGCACAGAGTGTCACTGGGTGTCCCTGGGAGAGGAGGATGAAGGTGGTGGGTTCCTACCTGGCAGCCCCTTCAGCCCACGCATGATCTCCTTACGTCTCTCCTGCATGGAAATCCTGTCATCACACATCATCAGAGCAAACATCACCAGAGACACAAACTGACTGGTGTAGGCCTAGGACAGGGGAGAGGAGAAAACAGGTCACCACCACATCAACCAAACAGTTGTTACCTACCAGGTACAATCCCATCACCAGCTGTGGCTTCCCTCTCATCACAGCACCAGTGGCAGCTTTTGATCCAGTTTTGTAGCAAAAATGAACATGAAATTCACAGGGCAAATGGTATCTGAGAAGATCTCCAGGGGAGGCATGAAATGAGCTGTGCTGCCTAGAGGAACCTGCTGTGGAACCTGCTGCTCTAGCTGGAGGTTACAGAAGTCCTCAGCACTAAGCAGCCACACTAATCTGCCTGAAGTGTTTAGAATAATCTCAAAATGAAGTTCTGGGCAATCTTTTCAGATCCTATTTTCATGTACACCCAACTTTGGTACCTCCTCACATCACCAAAAAGTGTCACTTCCAGGTATCTCCTAACTGCAGTGTTGATCCTGGGAAAACAACAGGGACAAACAGCTCCTTCAAGAATCTCTTGTAGGAGACTCATGAATTTTCCATGCTCAAATTCCCCAATGAAACTCAAATGTGGTTTTTGGCTGGTTTATGTAAGGGGTTGACATCATCTCTCCTCTAAATATAACCAAGCCAAAGCAGATCTCACCAAGCAGCATTTCACCAGAGGCAGCACAGGAAGGTGTTTCATGCTGCCTCACACAGCCAGACTGGCCCTGGGGGTGGACACAGCACTGCTGTTCATTCCAGTTTGCTGAACACACATTCTGAGCATCCCAGTGTCCCTGGTCAGGCTGTGGCACTGAGGGAGTTACATCCCATCAACCTTTCCATTGTTTTAACCTCCATTTTCACCTTCAAACCTGAGTTTAAGCTGAGTCTACACCTCCAAACCAGTGATGGCAAAGAGGAGACAACTCTTCCCTCCAAGGCAATCATTCCCTCTGGAACTTATTTGCTTTCAGTGCTTAATAGTTTCCTTATATTTCCTTAACGAAGACCAAAAAAAAACCCTTTGCAAGCTACAAGAAATAAACCTCTAACAACACAAGCATCAACAGCAAGAGGTGCAAAGGGAACAGACATCACTTAACAGGGAATTCAGGTCACAACCAACACCCTGAGGTGTCACACCATCACACTCCCTTAGGAATCCTTCCTGACCTCTCTGCTCCACTGTTGGGGTTGGGCTTTTGTTTTTAATTAAAAAGGCAGTTTTCCTTTTCAGACTGAAGCTAGGAAAAGGGGAAGGGTGATGTGATGCCACATGCTGGTAGGGGGTACAGGAAATGGGGTACAGGAAAGGGATGGTCACTACCAGTTTCCATTATCTACTAAAGCACTGATGGCAGCTGGAGGAAAGTTGCCACTTCAGTGGCAGGGTGAGGGTCCAGTGAGGGTCCCAGAGTGTGGCTCACCTTGGTGCTGGCGACGCCGATCTCGGGGCCCGCGTTGATGTGCACCCCACAGTCTGTCTCACGGGAGATGGAGCTGCCCACGGTGTTGGTGATGCCCACAGTGAGGGCTCCTCTCTCCTTACAGTACCGAAGGCACATCAGGGTATCTGCTGTCTCCCCTGCAGGCACAGCAAGGAGGCACTGACCCTCCCAGAGTCCCTGAGGTCTGTGTGCCCTCACTGAGCTCAGCCCCAACACTCTGAGCCCTAAAGTGTTCATCAGGGAGGGATCTAGAGAACACAAACCCCAGAGACAGCACTAGGTGTGGGGAAAAGTCAGAGTCCTGCTGTGCTTAAAAACAGAGGGGGAAAAGGAAGTTCAAGGGTATCTTCTCCCACAAACCCAACTGTGCTCCTTCCCCTGGTTTATAAAAATTCAGCTGGGGCAGGGCAGGGGAGGGAAAGGTGGTAGGGATGTGCTGAGCTGTGTGCTGAGCTCCAGAGATGGGGCTAGAACAGAAGTAGTTTGTGTCACCAGTTTGGTTCTGTCCCCCAAGGACACTCTGAGCACTCTGCACATGTGAGGAGACAGCAGAGAACAAACCCCAAGGTTAGCCTGGTGCAGCTCTCCCTCCTCCCCAACCTGCCCTGCCACTGCCAGGCCCAGAGCAAGTCCTGCAGGGTGGGAAACCATGATCTGTGAAAGAGAAAAGGGTGTCTGAGCTCAGGATTGACTCTGGGCTAGCACTGCCTGCTGAGCAAGCTCAGGGTCCAGGGAAACCTCTGTTAGGATGCCACATCCAACACTCCAGGGGAAAGATGGAGCCCCTGGTGAGTTCCCTGGGACAGGACTGGCTCTAAGGGCACCTATGTCTTCAGAATTCCCAGGGGAAACTTGACCATGAGTCCCCCCAGAGAGGATATTCTGTTACTGAGAAGAGTAACCAAAAAGAGTATTTTAACCCAAAATGTGTGGAGATCAAGTCATGACTGGTTTTGTTACCAAAGCTGAAAATCAGTTATGAAAATCTGAAATGGTAAATGGAATTAAGAGGGAAAAATGTAGTTTTGTATTGCAGTTGTCCTTGACTCTCTTAATATAACACACATCACATAGTTTTGACTTTTTTTATGCTTCACTGTGTTTTTTATCTCCTACTCCACTCCAAGCTGGTCCATTTCTTAGGATTTGTGTTAAGCAGTTTGATTTCTCCTGTGCCTCTGAGCCACCATATGGCAGAGCTTCAACTCCAGAACTAGATCCATTCCAAAGAAACTGTGGAGCTGCTTTACCCAGAGCTCAGCAGCATTTTTAGCCTGATGATTGATGGAATATTTCCTCTCAGAGAGAAAGGAAACAAAACTACTGTCATCATATGGAAGTCTCAGCCCCACAAGCTCTGCAGCATCCTCACTTGGAGGGGAGCAGAACCACCCTGATTTTTCCCCCCTGGAGGCTCTGTGTGCCAAGCTCTTCCTTCTCATGAACCACACACAATCCCACAGACAGGCACAAGAGTTTGGCTTCTCCCTGCCAAGCTAAGTTTCCAGGCAGGAGGGGAGTGAGGGGGTGGTGAGGTGAGCCCATACCTGACTGGCTGAGGAAAAAGCAGACATCATCTCTGAAAACAGGAGTGTTTCTGTCCAAGAAGTCACTGGCAAGTTCCACCATGACAGGTAATTCAGTCAGTTCTTCCAGCACCTGACGGGTCTGGGACACGGAGACGTCAGGAAGTTAGGTCTGACATCATGTTTAGAAAGCCAAGTGTTTGCAGTACAAAGAGCCTTTTTAGCTGCCACACATTGGAAAATATTACTACCCAAATCCCAGGTGAAAGTGAGTGCTGGACCAGGGGTTCATTACTCAGGATGCTCACACACTCAAGGCCCCAAGGATCCCTGTGGAAAGCAACTTTGCTCTGGCACACCAACAGCCTGAGAGGCAACTCCTCCCTAAGACTGTTCTTAGGTCTCACTTATTGGACAGCCCTCAGCATGTATGACAGAACTCAGGGTGTCCTGTCAGGCCAGAACCTGAACTCAGAAACCACCACCTACACCCAGGCCGAGCCATGAACTTGGCTGGTTGGTGCATTGCATCCTGCTCCTGCTGTCCCTGCCCTGCCAGCTCTTCTACAGCACAGCAACTTTGGGGCCTCAGAGTCTTCCACAGCAATGGAGCCACAGGGAACATCTCCAGAACTATTCACTTCTTCAGGTTTTTACTGCTGTTGTTACAGAACTGACAGATTGGAGTCTGCAGCCTGCACAAGGCTCTTCATTCACCTGTGTCCACCTGCTCAACCCTAACCTGAAATCGACCCTTCACCTGCCTGGCACACACCACACACTCTCCAGGGTGACCTTAGCTGTGCCTAAAGGGGCAACAAGAGAGCTGGAGAGGGACTTGGGACAAGGGCCTGGAGGGACAGGACACAGGGAATGGCTTCAAAATGACAGAGGGCAGGTTAGATGGGAGAGTGGGAAGGAATCCTTCCCTGTGAGGGTGGAGAGACACTGGCACAGGTTGCCCAGGGAAGCTGTGGCTGCTCCATCCCTGGGAGTGTTCCAGGCCAGGCTGGATGGGGTTGGAGCAGCCTGGGCTGGTGGGAGATGTCCCTGCAGCCCCAGCCAGCCCAGCAGGGACACTCACAGCCACCCCAGCGTGGTAACTGGTGCCGCAGGCGATGAGGATCAAACGGCGACACCTCTGGATCTCCTTGATGTGATCCTTCAGCCCACCGAGGTTTACTGCAGGCAAGATTGAGAGAGGACAGTCAGCAGAAAGCTCAAGATCACTGATGCTAACACAGCTAACCATCCCAGAAGTGACCCTGCCAGCAGAAAGTGAATTCTGAAGCTCCTGTGACATCTTACACCAACAAGGGTTTCACCTGCCACACCATCACCTCCTTCCTCCACTCTAACTACTGTGGATGTTCAACTGACAGAAATCAAGTTCAATCTCAATTACCAGTGTAGTCATCAAAGTTGACCCTTCCCCTCATCGTATTCACGACCGATTCTGGCTGTTCAAATATTTCTTTCTGCATAAACGAGCTGAAGTTACCTGTAAAGAAAGAAAGGAAACAAATCAGAACATTTTACCTCCTGGTAACTGACAATTCTCCTGTGTATAGGGAACACTTTGGACCAGAGTCACTAAGAGGCCAATTACCAGGCAGAGATTACTAACTGATCCTTCTTTTTCTGCCCCTGCACCTCACCTTCCCCAGCTGTAAAACTGGGACAGCCTGGCCCTGTTGCAGCATGTTGAGATCTTTACAAGAATTAGGTACTATCACATGAGCTCATCAGGAGAGCTTGGTTCAAGTTCCTAGAAGGTGTCAGTGAAGGGGCAGATCTGGAATGGGAAACCTGCGAGGGATTAATCTTGGAAAAAACAGATTGAGGCAAAACCCTCAGTCCCACAACTCTCCTCATTACGGTGTCAGCAGCTCGAGGGAAAATCCCAGTAGATAAAAGGCCTTTTTTCCCCATGAGGCTACCAAAGCACTGGATCAGGCTGTGAGATCTGTGTCCCTGGAGACACTCCAGACTCAACTGCCCAAGGCCTGTTAACACTACTTGGCCCTGGCAACATCCAAAGGTCTTTTCCACCCTGATCTCTCCTTGCCCTGGGAGTCAAGGAGGACCTGTCCCCACCCCACCAGTGACCCCCAGCAGCTGTTACCCTTCATGATCTGCTGCAGCTCCATCTGCAGGGTCTGCACAGCACGCCCTGGGTGATCCCCGGCCGTGCGCTTGATGCGGTGGATGGACAGACGTCCGTCCACCACTGCTGCCACATCATCATCCTCCAGGAAGATCACTCGGTTCGTATGCTCGATCACAGCACTGTGGAAACACAGCCCCAGCCCCTGAGACACAGCTCACAAACCAACCTGCAGCTCTGGAAGAAAAGTTGCTCCTCTTTTCCATGGAATTCTGTTTAAAATCCACCCGTCCTGCAAAGCACATTTCTACCCTTCCCATGGACCTGGATTGTTTCCACCCCAACTCCTTATTCATTTTGGTGTCTGCTTCAGGGAGAAACTCCTCAAAGCAGAGTGTGCAGTGATGGGATCTAACTGATGGCAGCTGGAAGGGGAAGACAGGACAGGAATTTGCCCTGGTAGAGCTAGAAGGTGAAATCAGGAGGACAGGATTTTCTGCAGGTTTTTCCAGGGAAAAGCTACTGTCCCTCCCTGCACCTCACCTTCCCCAGCTGTAAAACTGGGACAGCCTGGCCCTGTTGCAGCATGTTGAGATCTTTACAAGAATTAGGTACTATCACATACCTTCCCTGCCTGCAGTTCCCACGGGGAACATCAATACTGGCACAACCAGTGGGGTTTAACCTGTGGTCAGGTTTCAGTCTGTGCTCTCTCTCAGCTGAGCTAAGGTAGATCTCTATTTTAGCAGCTTTTCTCCTGCCCTTGAACACTGAGAAGCTCTAAAACCAGAACACATCAGGGTGCCCTAAGACTCTCCAAAGTTCTCTGATGAAAAGAGCTGCAGAGTCAAGCACAGCAGCATTTTTACAACTCTGGGGCAAGCACTCCTTTCTCTGCAAACAGAATCCCAAGAGCTCTGCCAAGGTGGTGTCTCCTCCCTCCTCCAGGATCACAGGAGGGAATTGCATGTGTGCAGAGATCCCTGGGGAATCAACACAATTCCTCAGACAATTAGCATCTGCCCTGCTCATTTAGGTCAGTGCACTCTCAGGTTCCCTATCACTGGGAAACCTTAGCAGCAGATGTGCCTGAGGAAGGATATCACCACTATTCCAAGGATAATTCCTGTCACTGTTTCTGTTCCTATCTGTACAGCATAGCCACAACACAAAGAAACCACAACCTCCTCAGCTCCTGTTTGAGGCCTCAGCTTTAAGCAGCACATCTTAGAGACACCAAAAGCTGCTGGCAAACCTCACCTGGCATCAGAAGCAAAGTAGTACTCCACAGCTTTCTCCTCCACAGGGAAGAGGCAGGTGGTGCTGTCAACACGGGACAGGTTGCAGCTTCCCTTCTTGTCCTTCCCTAGAAGACAGGAGGGTCAGGAGCTGCCTGAGCTGGGAGCCCTGAGCAGGGTCAGAGCCAGAGGCCCCAGGACACAGTACCAACATGAAGCACTATTTTCACCCCTGGCTGGCACAGGAACCCACCAGCACTCGTGGTGCTGTGCCCTCTCTGGGGCTGTTTGCAAGGGTTTCATGTCCTTTCCAATCAAACCTGCATGTCTGGGGTTAGTGCAGAGCTCTGAGTGCAGGGGGAAATATCAGTACAAACTCCAGTCAGAGTTGTATGTGGCTCCACTCACAGGGAGGTGAAGTTGCCTCCTGAGCAGCCACTTTTACCCATGTTTTCCCAGATGAAGTGTCCTGTTGGTCTGGCTAAGTGTCTCCTGCTCTCCTGAAGCTCCCAGAAATGGTTTGCTCTTTCTTTGCCAGCTGTTCTCTGCACTGGGGAAACTCTTTCAGAGTTGCCACCTGTGCAACCACACTCCCCACAGCTGTAAGCCAGAGCTATTTCAGTCTGGCTGAGCTCATGTGCTCAGGCACAGCTCAGGAAACCCAGGAGGGAGTGCTCAGCATTGTTCCTGAGCTAGCAATTCCAACCAACCACTGCCATCCAGAATTGAGACCTGCTGTGAGTCCTGTGCTATGCCAGGGAGGTGTCTAGGGGTGCTGAAGGACTCAGGACTGAATCAGCTTCTGAAACACTTGTGCTGAGCCTTGAAAGTTCAGAGCTCCTTTCTGGAGGTCTCTGGCAATTCCCAATACTCCCCAATCCTCCTCCTTAAAAACTACTTCTCCATGGCAAAGCTCTTCAGGAATGTGGACAAGAAACACTGCTCAGCACTGGCCTCCAGCAAAATTATCCCACCAGTGCATGGTGTGAGGAAGAGCAGAGGTGAATCAATCAGCTTATCTCCCAAAATACGACTCTTGCTGAGCAACAACCCTGAAATTACCCTACACTGTGTTTATTCCACAATCCTGATGCTGTTTCAGCTCCTGGACATCAACTGAGTGAGTGATGCAAACAGAGCTCAGGGTGTTCAGATCTGTATTTCTGTCTGTGGAAATGTAAAGAAAAATATTGCTTTCATGTTGATACTCAGTGAGAAAGGAGCAACTCAGCCAGCAATTTTGAGCCCTCCAGTGATTGAGGCAGTGAATGGAAAATGAGACCTTCCCTGAGATGAGACAGGACAGGCTGATTTGGTGTTGAGATGAGACAGAGCACAGGTGTTAGTGGTTAGAATCATCCAGATCTGATCAAAACATGCAAATTTGGTTTCTCAAACCAGAATATTTCCCTGCATTGACTTTATTATGTGACATTGCTTTCCTGGGGGACAATCTACACTGAGCTTGGACCAGAACATGTTCTGGCTGTCCACATACACACGTGTGTGTGGACACCAGGGAAGGCCTGGGAGGTTCCAGTGAGTCTTATCAGTCAGTTCTGGTTGTTGTTACCTATGGATTTGTCCACAGATTGTCCTTTTATCTATAGGTAATCTGGATTGCTGCTCTCCAGCTCCAACCTCCCGTTTACCAGAATTAACAGCAACACAGAAATGATCCTTGAATCTTTCTCCTTCTGAATCCAAGAATGGAGACACCATGGAGAATCAGGACAGGCATCATGTCCCAGTCTGACATGGAATGGGAGGACTGAGGGGTGGATTCTCCTGTGTGTTGCTCATGGTGTTTCTGATCAGGAAGGAATTCTGGTTATCCCACTAATGTTTTCCTGCACTCCATGGAAAGCAACAGCCACATATTAAAGAGACAATGCATCTTTGCCTCATTTGTGATTCCTTTCCTAAGGAACTGGAGGATTTGTCTGACATTTTCAGGATTAGCTTTTCTCTGGTAGGCACCTTCCTCCGTTTTTATGGATATTCCATCAAAAGAATGATCCATAGATTGTACAGCTGAAAGTGCAATTGGGAAAAAAAAACAAAACAGAACAAAAACCAAACTTCAGACAATCAGTAACACAAGTGTCACATACATACATGAAAGATTAGTGCTAATTACCCAACACAGTCAGGGTAACCACACAGCCAGAGCTCCTGGGACTGGTTCCTGCAGCAAGTGTTAGCTACACTGTTAGGAAGCAGCAAGACATGGGGCAGCAACTCCTCTGGATCACTGCACAGCTCAGGACACCAGCCCAGGGCTCAGATGGGTCAGACCCCTCTGCCAAGGGCAGTTCTCAGCCACTTCTCACTTCCAAGGGTGTGAGGATGGACAGACAAGCCAAGTACAGAGTGCCACACAAAGGGGAACAGTGTTCTGCAACCCAATGTGGCATGGGATGGCACAGAACTGCCAGGGACAGTGCCAAGCCTGCAGCACTGTCACCTGTGCTTGGCATCACCTCTAGGAGCCACCAGCAGCAGCAGGGCCCACATGCCACGCACGGAACATACCCATCAGGATCCAAGTGTAACCACACTAACTATTCCAGCAGCCCTGGGAGTGTTCCAGCCCAGGCTGGATGGGGTTTGGAGCACCCTGGGCTGGTGCAAGGTGTCCCTGCCCAGGGCAGGGGTGGGACTGGATGGGCTTTAGAGTTCCTTCCAACTCAAATCCTTCCATGATTCCATAATCATAGAATTAACCAAGTTGGAAGAGATCTCCAAGATCATCCAGTTCAACCTTACCATGGTCACTAGCTCATGGCACTAAGTGCCACATCCAGTCTCAGCTTGAAACCCTCCAGGGATGGTGAATCCACCACCTCCCTGGGCAGCCAATGCCATAATTGGCAGCCTGGAACAAGATAAGCTTTAAGGCCCTTCCAACCCAAACCATCCTGAGATTCTCTGACTTGATTTTATTCTCTTCTACCACCTTAAGGTGCATTTCCCCTGGAGCCACTGGGCATTATAGCTCTGCATGTAAAACCAGAGGCCACACCAGGTCTGTGGTGGTAGAGCATGTGGTTCATGACTTCCTTGAAGACATCCCCTGGTAGAAATGGCTCAGCCAACTCTCTCCAGGTGGGAGTAGCCACTCACCTGTGCGATAGAGGATGGGGATGTGGTCAGTGGAGAGTTTGTGCTCGCTGCGCACGCCGATGAGCAGGGGACTGCCTCTCCTGTGGGGACACAGCACAGCCTCAGCACACAGGGAAACCAGGACACAGGGACACAGCTCTGCTGTGCCCAGTGCCAGGAGGATATGGAGCTGCTGCAGCAAGGCCAGAGGAGGCCACAAAACTGCTCAGAGCCCAACAAGGACAGCCTGAGAGAGTTGGGGTGTTCAGCCTGGAGAAGAGACCTCAGAGCACATTCCAGGAGCTGAATGGGCTCCAGGGAAGCTGCAGAGACTCTTGGTTAGGAGCTGCAAGGACAGGACAAGGTTGAACAGGTTCAAATTGAAGGAGGGGAAATTTAGGCTAGATATTAGGAGGAAATTTTTGCTGTGAGGGTGGTGAGACGCTGGCACAGGTTGCCCAGGGAGGCTGTGG